CGTAGTGATACTGCCTCGGAAACCCAAGGAGGGGTCGCTATGAGTCGGGTTTGACTCGACGGCACATAACAACAACAACAACGAGGTCAAGGTTGTTGATGTTAGATTTTTCTGTTCTGGGTGGTTTACTTTCCTTTGTTCTCCAGTCAAAACCTCAGCCCTAATTGGTGATACAGACAGACCTTTGTTCCTGACTCAGCCTTAGTCAATCTACTATCTCTGTCCACCCCTGGCACTTGACCTCGGTCATCTTACAAGTCGAAATTCCTTGTCAGAAGAGCTCTGGTGGCCCAGTGCCTAAGGCATTTGACTGCTAACCAGAAGGCTGGAGTTCAAACCCACCAGCCACTCTTCAGAAGGAAGACTGGGTAACCTACTTCCGTAGTGATACTGCCTTGGAAACCCAAGGAGGGGCCACTATGAGTCGGATGCTACTCGATGGCAGTGAGTTTGGTTTTTGGTTTTTGTCACAGGAGGGACCAGAAGTAAAGCTTGTAATGATTCACTGCAAATCAGTCTCCAGAAAAGCAACTCATATCATGTTTCTTCTCTCTTCAAAGGGACATTTTTTTTCATCTCTGACTCCCTTGTTTCCTCCCTTCCTGTTCCCCATCGTTTCAAATCCTAACACTCTTTATTCCAGCATTTTCCTAAATATGGTCTGAGGACTTTTTGACTCAGATTTTCTGAGAGCAAGGGCCCAGAAATCTGCATTTTAAACAAGCATCCCAGCAATTCTGGTGTGCACTAAGGCTGGAGGGTCATTGCTCTGGTCTCTCTCAGGAAGAAGTTTCCAGCCCAAGGACAAGCAGTGGGGACCTGTGTTACCACATGTTGGAAAGGAGGAAGGAACTACCTGTGAATGCCTCATGCAGGGCATAAATTGGCTGGCTTGGAACAGGAGGCCTCTCTGCTCCCCACACCAGGTCCACAAGGTTTTCTGTCATGGACACTAGCTGTCTGTTGGAACCTTGGAGGCCCAGATCATAACTCTCCCAGGAGCCTGCAGAGACAGGAAGGAGAAAATTGTGATTCAGACCAAGTTAGCGCTGTCCACTCTGCTCCTGTAGCCCCATTACGCTCCTGCAGCCCTAACAGCCCAGATCCTGCCCAAGCAGTCTGGCCCTCCTGGAGTGCTTGCCCTAGTCTGGATGGTCCTCTCACCATCCTCTTTCTGCTTGCAAAGCCTAAATGCCCTGAACCCACCCCAGTGCTGTCCATAACCATTTGGGCAAGCTTGGGTACTAACCAGTTTAACAGGGCTTCGGTGTGATGTTCAGGGCCATTGGACAGGCTGGCAAAGAAGCCAGTTCTGAGGTAGGAGCCTTTTGGTATATATTCATGAGGACTCCACCTTGGAGGGCATGAGTTGGCCATTGGGCTGGGACCCAGAAGCTCAGGGAGCTGGATTACCTAAAAGGCTGTGCTTCTCAGAGGTTCTCCCAACTGCTTTGATCCTTCTAATCTGCCTTCCAGAAGAAGACTACCAAGTGACTCCAGGGTCATAACTGGTAGATTTCCGGGGCCCAAAGAGTGGTTCAGGGTTCAAGGACATCCTGGCCTGCTCATCTGCTAAGTCATAATGATTCCCTAAGTCTTCTAGTTTGGCTCTCTGCATTCATAACTTAAACAAAAATTGTATTCATTCTTTTAAATATACTTTACACAATCCATGAATACATTCTTGTTGCAAAATCTCCTGCAACCACAATTTCAAACACTCCATCCTGATAATCACATTGCTTCTTCCACCAATGCATGTTTCTTTTCTCCCTAGGGAAGCCGAGTCACCCTCACCACATGGACAAATCCAGGGACTGAGGGAAGAATGTACCCACGGAGAAGAGGAAGGGGTCGAAGCCCACACGTCTTCCAGCAGGAATCTCAGTGAGGAGCCAGGTGACAATGGGAGTGGTGCCGACTGTGAGAAAGACAGAAGGAACTCAGAGGCCACTTCTGGGGCAGTCTCAGGCCTCCTAGCCACACATCTGTCTGTGATGGTCCAGCTGTGTGTGTCCTGGATATTAGCCTCCAGGTTCCAGGACTTGGGTACACATCTGAGTGAGCTCTCTACCTTCCTCACGGAGCTCCCAGTTGCAGTCCATCTGTCGCTCAGCCTGAGTCCAGTAGCGACTGTCAGTCCAGAGAGCTGCTTTCGCCAGGGTCACCACTGCAATTCCTGGGAGCAGAACAGAGAAGCTTGGAAGTAGGGATGAAGGTGGGGAAAGGTGGTTTTTTAGAATTGTGGGTGTGCAACACAGTGGGAATGTCACAAAGGGCCTCTGCAAAGAATTCCATGCCTCCACTGGAAGGAAGGGAGGCAGGAGATGTTAAAGAGAGCCTTGGAGGAAGTGGGCAGAATGGGTGTCCTGGGTCAGCTGTGTTGAGAGCCTCTGGAGGGGGTCATTAGGACTTTCAGCAGGAAAAGAAGTGGGTCTGTTTCTGGCAGACCAAAGGAGACAAAGCCACATGTAGGTGCTCTTGGGAAAAATGGCACTTGGTGTAAAAACTCGGTGGCTGACGGGGCCACTGAGTTGAGGACAGGAGGAGAGCTGAACGTAGCAACTTTGGCAAAGATATGAAGATGGCCCATGATAGGCAAGGCAGAGTAACTTGAAGCCCAGGGCAAGGAATGCTTGAGGATCAGGAGGGGAAATTTGGACTGGATTTCTTTCAAGAGCCAGGATCAGGGTGGGAGGGCTCTTCAGAAACTGACCTCTATGTTTTTGTCTCATCTAGCCATGTGAGGTGCTGTTGCTTGCAAAAGGACCTAGCCATCATGTCAAGGGACTCAGTGGGCCCTTAGTGACTAGATGTGGAAGTAGCAACTGTCCCAGAAACGGAGCCCAGGGAGTGCTGGGCTGGGCCTAGCTGTGGCAGCTGAGGCAGTGAGCACTGGAAGGAAGCCAGCGTGGCCACCTGCCTCATGCAGACATGTGGCCTGGGGCTATGAGATGTGTGCCCTGGGGGACCTGAAGGGACACTTGCTGTGGTGACCTTTGTTGGGGCAGTGGAAGGGAGGCAGAGAGCGAGAACAGCCAGGGCCTCTGGACACTAGGTCTTAGGGCCTGGGCTACTGAGAGCCAGCCATGCCAGGGCCTTTGGTCCTACCAACAGAAGCAATTGGGGCTGGGAAATGGCTGTCACCTGCAGACCCTGTAAAGCCTGTAATCCATGCACGCCTCTCGTCATGTTTGCCGACGTACTCACTCTAGGAAATCAACAATACCATCAATTAGTCTTTTTCATGGATTTAGTTTCCACGTGGGAGACCCCTGGCCATATCCCAGTTCTTTCTGTCTACAAGGCCACAGTATACTTGGCATCTCTTCCAGGAAGCCCTATGTAACTCCCCTAGCTCTCAATGTCTTCCTTTTCTTTGAACAACTGTATCTCTTGGAGTCTAAATCCCACAGTCGACCACTGGACTCTGTTACGCTGGACTGTTCCACAAAGAAGCCTGGGGTCATGTCTTTAAGCTCTTTGGGGTTCTCCCCTCTAGCTGCCTTGCCCCCTGTCCAGTATTTCACAGTATCCTGGGTATATCATAAATAACTTTTGCAGAGGGCTTTCCACATTATCATCTTCTCTGGTGGCATAGTGGTTAAAAGCATTCAGCTGCTAATCAAAAGGTCAGGAGTTTGAACCCACAAGCTGCTCTGTGAAAGAGATATGAGGCTATCTGCTTCTGCAAAAGAATCTACAGCCTTGGAAACCCTCTGGGGCAGTTCTACTCTGTCCTACAGGGTCACTACAAGTTAGAAGCAACTGGGTGGCAGTAGGAATCTTCATAAGCTTTGGAGACAAAGCTCTTTATTCACATTTTGCAGAAGAGGAAACTGAAGGCTCAGAGACGTTCAGACACTTACCCAAGGTTTTTAACCCTTCCCAGCAAGTGAGAAGATGAATTTAAGCAGTCTTACGGAACCTGGAAATGCCTTCTCATCTAACTGGGCGGGTGTTGGGAAGGTGGACGGGATGGAGCTGGAGCCAGGATGGGAAAGGGTGGGCTGTATGGGTAGGGGGGCTGCTTTGGGAGAAGTAGTTCTTGTTCAGGCCACCTTATTTCCTGCCTGCCCCCCCTTAACCTATATCCCCAAGCTCATATAGTCCCGGACCCGACCCATCCAGCCTGTCCTTTGAGAAAATTGTCAAAGCAGGTTACGGAAAGGCCTGGGCTGGAAGGGTCTTAGAGAGTTTAGAGTCCTTCCAGCCCAGTCCCAAGTCAGCCCACATTCTAACATGCAAGGGCAGGGAAGGTACGAATCTGGATCTGACTGCTGGCTAGCAACTGATGGAAATGGATTCTGAAGTTGTTTATAGTCTGAGGTCAAGGAGATTTGGCAATGGCTTCCCTCGTATGTAAAAGAATACTTGCTTTTAGTTGCCCTCAGACTACTGTGTCTAAGGTCCCCACTTCCCTCCCTTCCTCTGCCAGATCCTTTCTCTGCCTCCTTCATCTTCTGAGTCTTAACAGCCCCCAGTGGGTGGCCTATTCTCATAGGCTGGACTGGGGCATTGAGAGGGCAAGAGGGCGAGAGGGTGAGGGGGAAGGAGCTGTCCCTCACCAAGTGGGCATCCGTGTCTGGGACGATGTAGGCAGCGAGGTTCTTGGCTTGCATCTGCTGACGGAGGGCTGCGAGCCGCGCTGTGGTATTGACTGCTGTAACGGGCAGGTACTGACAGATGACAGGAAGACACCATGACACACACAGACAGACACACATGCTGCTTAGGGAAAATGACACCTGAGGCAGCAGATGGGGTGGGGGTGGTTAGGCTGGTCTGATGGGCGGGGAGGGGTGTGGAGGAGGTGGAGGGGAGGGGCCTCGAGTGTGGTTTAGTCTACAATAAGATGCCTGGAGGGAGCTCTGGTGCCACAGTGCCTAAGGCATTTGACTGCTAACCAGAAGGCTGGTGGTTCAAACCTATCAACCATTCCTTGGAAGGAAGGTTGGACAATCTACTGATACTGCCTTGGAAACCCAAGTCGGAGCCAACTCGATGGCAGTGAGTTTAGTTTTGGTTTTTTAAGGTGCCTGGAGGAGCCCTACTGGTTAAAGTGCTCATTTGCTAACTGAAAGGTCGGTGGTTCAAACCTAGCTGCCGCTGTTCGAGAGAAAGCAGTCTGCTTCCCCAAAGATTTATAGCCTTGGAAACCCTATGGGGGCAGTTCTACTCTGTCCCTTATGGTCACTGGGAGTCAAAGTTGAATTTGGTTTTTATCTGAAATTCAAAAGTAACTAACTGGCTGTCCTGGATCTTATGTAGCAATCCTACCTTGGGGCCTTTTTCCATTTTCTACCCACCGGTCCCAAGGAGCTCTGGTAGCGTAGTGCCTAAGGCACTTGACTGCTAACCAGAAGGCTGGCAGTTCAAACCCACCAGCCA